CATCCCATTCTTTTTACTATGTATAATGCCAGTATGTGTTTCTTTATATTCTTCTTTTCTTGTCAGATACACTTATATTAATTATTCCTTTGGCTATTAAAATAATTTTAAGTATATTATTACAAAACATATACATTTTTAATATACACTACCTTATAATGTTAACTAAGAAAATACCTTTAATTACCTTAAAAATTAATAATATACAGGGCGATTGATAGTGATATTTATTAATGCTGGAACGTTAGTAATGAAATATAAGTTTAATAATAATAGAAATTAATTTATTAAAATGCAGTACAAAAAATGTTAACTGACTAAAAAATACTATAATAACAAATTTCTTCCGTTTGCCACGTTATTTATATAGACCTAGGTAGATTTTAAAAAGTGACACAGGTACAATTAATAATATATTAGTTCAACATAAAGTTGCTGTCACGACATCGAACAATAAATTAAAATTCGTAAAATAAATTAAAATTCGTAAAATAAATTAAAATTCGTAAAATAAATTAAAATTATTAATTAAACAAATCTTTATAAAGAAACGCAAGTATACCAAATTTGGGCCCCATCGAACTCCAGGAAATGATATCATAATAGTGTACTATATTATGGTACCACTTGATATGCTTTAAGGTACCATAATATTGCAATGTCACCGAAGATCCGTAGTATACCAAATTTAAGAACAATCGAACGCCATGAAATGGTATCGTAATATGGTACTATATTACGGTACCATTTTATATACATCATAGAACAATCATATGACAATGTCACCGAAGATACGTAGTATCCCAAGTTTAAGTCCAATCGAACGCCATGTACGTAATATATACTATATTACGGTACCAGTTGATATGCTTCATGGTACCATAATAACGCAATGCCATCAAAAATACGCAAGTATATATCAAATATGAGTTCAATCGAACGCCAGGAAATGGTATTGAAATATGGTACTATATTAAGGTACCACTTTATATGCATCATAGTACCATCATATTACAATGTAACCAAAGATACGCAGTATACTAAGTTTAAGCCCAATCAAATGCCAGGAAATGGTATCGTAATATGGTACCTCTTATTATGCTCCATGGTATCACCATAATATTACAATATCACCGATATACAATATTACAATATCCCAAATTTAAGCCCAATCGAACGCCATGTACATAATATGGTAGTATATTATGGTACCAGTTGATATGCTTTATGGTACCATAATAATGCAATGTCATCAAAAATACGCAATTATATATCAAATATGAGCTCAATCGAACGCCAGGAAATGGTAGTGAAATATGGTACTATATTAAGGTACCACTTTATATGCATCATAGTACCATCATATTACAATGTCACCGAAAATACGTAGTATACCAAGTTTAAGCCCTATTGCCTCCATGTACCTAATATTGCTATGTCATCAAATATGGTACTATAGAAGGTACCACTTTGTATGCTCCATGGTACCATGATATTACAACGTCACTGAAGATATAGTATATCAAGTTTAAGCCCAATCGAACGCCATCTATCGTAATGTGGTACTATATTATGGTATCACTTGATATGCTTCATGGTACCATAATATTGTAATGTCATGAAAAATAGTATATATCAAATACCGTATGATACCGAAAAAAACGGCGTCCAGTTGGCTGGAAAAGGACGATCGATGACATTTCCCATATAAATTTATATATAAAATGACAGCGATATTCATTTCATAGCCATCGCTAACGCCGTTTTTTCCCGATTATACGATATGAACTTGGTATGAACACAATCGAACGTCAGGAAGTGGTATCATAATAGTAGAACAATACTTATTATATTGTCGCCGAATTACAATGAAAATTTCACACCTCTACTTTTCAACCAATAACATGCTTTAATGTTGACTAGTTACCATGGCAACTGAAAAAATTTCCGGAAATTTTTTCGAGGCGCCATGAAACTTTAGTGGAAATTTTTGACAGTTGAAAAGGTAAACATAAGATCTACAATCATAATGTGAATGAACTACAATGTCTATATATTGAAATATTACCCATTTGAGTTTTAGCAATACCTTGGCCAACTTAACAAATTGAAATTATTTTAAAATGTCATGTTGGATTAATATTTTTCTTTTTAAATTTAGGTGTGAAATTTTCTTACCGAATACCACGCAAGCTTAAATTATTCCTGGAAATTTTCTTTCGGGCACGAATATTTTAGGAAAATTATATAATTTTCAAAATATTCGTGCCCTCAAAAAAATTTCCGAAAATAATTTAAGCTCTTGTGATATTATAAGTGAAAATTCAGGATTAAATTATACAATCAAACGTCAGGAAGTGATTGTAATTTAGCTCATAAGATTTAATTCCAACTAACATGGCAAATTGAAAAAAACAGCTCTGATCTATTTTAATATGTTTAAATGATGTAGCAAATTTGAAGGTAGGCTTTATCAGGAAGTATTACGATATGAAGTACACAATGGCAACACTGCACAAAATTTTTTTAAATTTTGTTTGTAGAAAACTGTTTTCTTTTAAATTTATTGCCCTCTATTATGTAGTAGCGAAACTACTGCATCAAAATATCTGATTTGGAGACAGGCTTTAAAGCTTTTGCTACCTACAATTTTATACATGTAACGAGGCTTCTGTTGCGTATCTAGATATTCTGTGATTTCGAGTATTTTTCTGTTGCGTAGCTAGATATTCTGTGCATATATGCATGGCGATGGGTGGAATGTCATATTTATTTTAAAAGCCGTATGCAAAAGGGCAGACAAAAAGATCGTGGCTAAATCAGCTGCAGACAGTTATCAAAGGGTCATATTACTCTAGCGCTTTCAGGGAACGCTCGCCGCCTCATCCATTTAATTATAGATAAATCATATATAAGATTATATTATAAATATATTTTTTTATTATTTCAATAACAGAAATCATATATTTGCTATTCTGTCTCACTATTTGTATCTGACTCATCGTACTGCAAATCCTCACTCTCGCAAACGAGTCTTCCTCTATGAGTCGATATCTGCACCCTAAAATTTGTGTTTTACATGTTATTATGTTTTACAGTTACATGTATTTGTTTCAATTCATAACGCGTCGACCGTTTCCTGAAAACGCTTATAGAGGGTGAGTCTTAAATAAGTGCAAATACTTTTAAGGGTGATATATTTCGACCCCAGGAACACGTCTATGAGTTTTTTTTTCGCAAAAAAAACTTAAAATAGAAAATTGTGAATTTTTTAGTATTGAAAATACTTCTGGCCGCGTTTATATGGGACCCATCTTTGAAAAAACGACATGCTAGAAGCAACATGGGTTCAATAACCTGCCTGTCAACACGTACTTAAGTTGAATAGGGCAAGGTCGAGTCTGGACCGGCGGATAAAGAAAGCGATATTATTTTAAAAGAAAATATGTCAAGGCATGGGTTGTTAGGTACAGTTTGGCTATTTAAATTTAACTATTTCCGTATGAGAAACAAGGGGCAAATTATACGAGAAAGAGCAGAATTACATAAATAATAAATTTAGACTAATAACCATATATTATCATTATTTTTTTTTAACTATCAACTTAGGACAAAGAATGGTTTCCACCGCCAACAGGCGTTAAAACAAATGAATCCAAGGCGTTGTCAAATATTTATTGGGATAAGTTGATAGTTTTTACCGTTTGAATATTGTATAATTCAATTACAATACACTAATTAATTAATTTTAAATGTATCTAAATAGGCACTTTAATAATTGAAAAATGGACATGATCACTTCATAGAGTATACCAAATATGTAAAAAAATCCAATAAAAAAACCACAAATGGCACATTAAAATCTGCATTATCTGAAATCAAACTATAGATACCTAAACCACCCTAAACGGCCAATCAGCCAGACAACAGTCACAAGACGCCGACATCGATAACGCGATGAGCAGTTTTTAATAATTATTCCGAGTTAATACTTCAAGTAGCATTCCTTCAAATAAATTTTAATTTAAGTATTGTTAATACATATAGTCATATTAATGATTATAGCCTGTATGATTTCTAAAATAAAAAATCCAGCGTGTTTTTTTATCAGAATAATTATTAAATGATGTATATAATAGTTAATATTTATTAACTTCGTAAGTGTTATTTTTTAATATAATTATGGATTTAATAATTAAATAATTATCTTAAGTTTAAATTGTGGTAAACTTGTTATGAGTTTCAATCATTTATATTTAAAATCTTAGGGAAGGCAATATAGATTTTAGGCAGAAGAACTCAAGGGAAGGACTGTGTAATTAATAATTAAAATTTTACATTTTTTTTTACTTGCCATTTTTCTTGTCTTTCACGTTGCACGTTCACTCTTCGTTGTGTCACACACAATCTGAATTTCGGATATGATGCAGAACTGATAAATTAGACCAAATATATTAATTGCAAGGTATGCAAAGACATATTTTTGTTAACTTAAAAAAATTGACGTGAGATTACTTCATAATTCTTGAAAGTCTTGGATGATAAAGATTTGAATTATTATGGGTCTGTTTTGTTTAAGAAGCTAACAAATAATTTCAAAAACTCAACTATCAAAATATAATGGTAGAAAATGTTTAAAAGCATGTATGGGTATAATATTCCATATTAATTAGACATACAGAATGTAAACTAGGAATACATAGTTGCTGCAGTCGATAATATATTTTGCTGCTTATTTTCCTCATAACAAAAAACCGTCAATAGCGCCACTCACATTACGGGCACCTTTTTATACTTAAATCTCTTAATGTTGTTAGGTTAATCTCTTAGGTTGTCACAGTTTTTTTTATTAGGTATGATGAAAAGAAGCTGCAAACTAAATTATCGTTGGAGCCAACTATATTTTAATTTATTTTTATCTACAGTAACTATGCACGGTAAGGGTTCAAAATATGCCCATACTGTGAGGCAACTCAATTCGTGTATAAATTAACACTTACATTCCAAGTATCTTCTTGGTCTACCGGCACCCCGTTCATCCTTATTCCATCATTTCTATAAAAAATAGTATGATTTATAACTTTTAATTTTTATTAAGAAAATTGGTGAAATTTTGTTGTACGGCAAATTTAAATTTATGGGCCCTCCATAAATTTACACCGTAAGTTCGAATATTAGTTAAACCTAGGAATACCCAGGTAATAGCCGGAAATATGCAAAAGAAGGGGTGAGTTTAGGTTAGATTATAATTAGGTTTTAGTTGGTTTTGAATTAATAAAAATATAGACCTAATCTAAACTTAACCGAAACTGACCCACTTTTTGGTATATTTCGGGCTCCTACGTGGGCAACTCTACGTTTAACCAATATTCGGGCTTTTACGGTAACATAATACTCATTCTGATTGGTCTAATCTGGCTCCATAACAAAACTGTGGGTTCGAAGTGCTATTGCAAATTAATGCAATTAATTCTATGTATACACTTTCATAAAAAGCCATCACGATAAAAATTAAATATCAAAATTATTTAACGTTGCGAACGGTTCACTTGTTCACTATACGTATCTGGAATATATTTGCGAATGGCGATCAGCGATACGATGGTGCGTCCAAACCTGGGGAGACGAGCGCGAGAAATTTCAAATTCGCTGTGTGGACGAGTCTCGCGAGAGCGTCGCGAGTCAACCCACGGAGCCTCGTTGCTATCCGTCCCCTGTCGCTTTTCCAACGGCCGATCAAAGAAAGCTCGAAAGTCTGGACGTGTTGTTGGTAGGCCCGCCCGACTGCGAGATATTAGGTCTAATTTATAAATTTCGACCATTTAAAATTAAGAAATCTCAAATTTTTAAATCATACACCGTATGTATTATCATTTTTCTGATAGAATTTACAAATTTTATGTCTGATAATTTTTACCCTACCGAAATCGAACATTTCTCTAAACAAATTGAATTATTACAACATCTATTAATTTTAGATATATAATATCAAAAATGACAAGAAAAGTTACCGAATTGTACGTATGTATAACCCAATAATAAAAATAAAAATAGGGTATTCCCAATAGAAAATATGTTATATCCTCAACACTTTTTGAATTACCCTGTATATCTATAGTAATGTTAAAATGTGCTTCTTAACCTTACCAATAACTTTTTTATTTAACATTTTGTTCTAAAAACGTTAAAAACGCATTATGTAAAAAACGTCGTGGAAGGGATAAAGGAAAAACAGCCGAAGGGGGGAAAACCGATGATGAATACCATGTTAAAGACCGAATATCATATTAAAGATACAAAAATTTATTACTGTATGCGTTATTATTTGGCCATCGTTTGTCATATTCAATTGCAATTTAATATGTGTTTCATTTCTTTCACTATGATCCCACTCGGCTTGTCTCGTGTCAGGTTGGCGTAAAAAATGGATAGAAAATGTGTCGCTTTCGTCTCGCGCTTATCTCGCTCTTGTCTTGCTCTCGTCTCGCGCTCGGCTCGTCAGGTCTGGACGCACCATAGACTGCCGGAGTGGTGACGTCACGAATGTCAAATTGCTTTCCAAACAAAGTTTAGTTCTTTATATTTCTATTCAGCTCTTCCAAATGACGTCACAAATTAATATAAAATGTAAAAAAACAGGTGATTGGCGACAACCGCCGACTTGTATCTGGTATTTTCAATACGCCTATGATGGTTGCGCATGTTGCAAAATCTGTGAATTTTTTAAATTTTCCTGTATATTTTAGAAAACTTTTTAGAACTGCCTGTTCACCGCAAATTTATCCACAGTATAATTATTTTTTCACCTACCATGCTTACGGCTTTACTCTATGACTACGACACTAAAAACTAAACTAAAAGGATGGACGCAAATACAGAAAAAAAAACAGGTGGCTCACAAAATTATTGAAAAATAAATCAATTTTTTTTTAATTTTCAAACTTGAATAACTCGGTGATTTTGGACTTATTTAGAAAACGGTAAAAAGAAAATATGTTTCTTTTACCGAGTTCTACCAGCTCTGAAAATATTTGCACGTTTTAAGATTCACCATGTAGAGTAATATCGCGCTTTTGATAACTGTCTACCGCTGATTAAGCCACGATTTTTCTGTCTGCCCTTTGGCATACGGCTTTTTAAATAAATAAACAATAAACATGACATTCCACCAATCGACATGCATACATCAAATGCGATGATTTTTTTTGTCAAAATTCCATGTCTCTTTCGCGTTGTCTGCCGGCATTTTAGCCACGAGAAAAATGTCTATCAACAATTTTACACGTTTCTTAATAATAAATAAAAGCTATTTGGCAATTATAACTCTTGTACCTTTTAATATTTTTAGTGTCAAAATTTGACCCTTTCGATTGGCCGCCCTCGCGTTAAGCCTCGGGATCGCGCTGGCAGACATGACTATTTCACAATCGCTACACAAAAAGATACTTCACAAGAAAAAATAGCCATGATAAATGATAAGGCTTTTTATGTAGCCAGCTCTCCGTCTATAAATAGGTCAAGGTGAAGAATAGTAAAGATGGATATTTCGTATTTCCTAGCCTAACTTTGCCTCATTACAATATTATTATAACACTTGGCCTATTTTCATTAGACGGGGATCACGAAATAACCCTCTTTGCCATTCGACTTTGACCGACTTTTGCGTATTTCGCGAGTAGTGTAGTGGCTGTCTTATAGTTGGTAAAATACAGTATATCCCCGGATTGTAGTAAATGTGTGTGTGTAAAATGCATTTTTCATAAAAAGATTAGCTTATTCGAAAATTGTTAATTCCGCTTATACTTATCAAAATTTGCGTACCGTTTTAGAGAACATAAAAATATAGTTTAATTTTAGGTCTTAAAAATCAAAAGGCGTTTTTATGGTAGTATAATTTCAATTTCATTTTTTGATAGATGGTTATTATTCTTTTTGATTAATGTCATATTTTTTGCCGTTTAACATTTTAAAATCAGCAAAAAATATGACGTTAATTAAAATTCTATCAAAGAATGAAAACAAAATTATATTACCCTAGAAACGCATTTTGATATTTATAGGATTTTTTCATGTTTGTTTTAATTTTCTCTCAGGAAATTTGCAAAAATATTAACGGGCTTAACTATTTTAGAATAAGCAGATTCAGCGTTTTTATATATTATATATCAATTTTAATTAATATTAAAATTGATTTGGATTATTATGATTGTAATTTTTACTTTTTGTAATTAAAGCGCAGGTAATTTAATTTAAGTGGAATAATTACTACTACATTTTTAATGATTAATTAAATCATTTCATTATCATTATTTCCTGATAAGAATTTTGTTTACTAGTTTTTTTTCAGGACTATAAATACATATCTCAACTAGAAGACACTAATTGGAAAATGAATTAGTGCAATATTATCTACACGTATTATTTTAAGAGGATTAGATAATGTCAAAATAAATATAGGAAAAATTGGATAAAAATTGGTCAAAAAACACACATCTATTAAAATAATATAATAATCAGTGTTGTAAAAAGTAAAATTTATTTCTATTTTGTAAATTATATTTTTGACATAAAATTGAAAACAGAATTTAGTATCTACATTAGAAACAATAGAAAATAGAACATTATAGACATAATGTGTTAATAATTTCATGTACATAAATCCCAAATAGTCTATATAGTCTCATACAGCAGCTAACATCCCTGATTCAAAAAATTCTTTACCAACACAGGATACCCGATGAATGGCAAACCAGCACCACTATCTTGATGTTTAAAAGAGGAGATAAGAAGCTGCCCTCAAACTATAGAGGCATAAATCTTCCAAGCACCACACTAAAACTTACGACAAAAGTGATAACAACCAAAATAAACGACTTAACATGCTTAGCAGATGAACAGCAAGGTTTCAGATCGGGCAGATCATGCACAGACGCGGTTTTTGTCATAAGACAGATAACAGAAAAATCAATCGTATATAACAAACCAGCGTATATGTGTTTTATTGATTTAGAAAAAGCGGGAAATTGAAAGAAATCGAAATGGAATAGAAATTCTAAAATTAACGGGGTCCTGACCGAACCAATAAATGTAGGCTGTGGTATCCGACAAGGTGACTCCCTGAGCCCTCTTCTTTTCAACATCATTATGGACGAAATAACAGGAAATGTACGTTTACTGAAGGGATACAGTATGGGCGACCAGGAAATTACTATTCTATGCTATGCCGATGACGCCGTATTGGTAGCTGAAAATGAGAACGATCTACAGCGCTTATTACATCGATTTAATTGCACTGCCAAATCACTTAATATGATAATATCGACCCAGAAAACTAAATGCATGACGACATCAAAAGTACCACTACGATGCAAACTGGAAGTCGAGGACAATGTTATTCAGCAAGAGATGAAGTTTAAGTATCTAGGCATAGAAATCTCAGGATATGGTGATGTAGAAGCGGAGGTGCGAGAACGGGCAACGAAGACAACCAGAATAGCAGGATGCCTGAATGATACAATATGGCGAAATAAAAACATTGAGGTGGAGACTAAAGCGAGAATTTACAAGGCAACGTACGACCAATAATGACATACACTGCAGAAACTCGACCTGATACAGCGAAAACTAAACAACTACTAGAAACAACCAAAATGAGAGTACTACGCAGAATAGCTGGAAAGACGCTTCTGGACAGGGAGAGAAATGAAAGCATAAGAAGAGCGTGCAAGGTGGAAAATGTAAATGAGTGGGTACTCAGCAGAAAGGAAGAATGGAACGAGCATATCAGCAGAATGGACAACAGAAGGATAGTGAGAGTTGCACGCGACAAATCACCGCTAGGTCGCAGAAGCTTAGGACGTCCACGAAAACGATGGAGTAGACTGAACTTACGGTCAGTCTAACCGGTAGAGACGACGAAATCAAACAGGCGATTCGCCTAGTATGAAGAAGGAAGAAGAAGAAGAAGAAATCCCAAATAGATAAGCAGTTAGAACATAAATAAAATTCAAATTTTTATCTAAATTATATGCTCAAAAACTTTTAATGAGAATAGGTGTGAAAACCTCTGTAAATTATATGTTTACAGCTAACACGATTTAAAAAAAAATTGGCGCCGGGAGGCGCGTATAGCCGCCCATACTTGATATTTTTTTTTATCTCAAAAACTGCGACTTTGACTGATGTTGATGTTATTACAAATTTTGTTGCAAATATTATTCCTAATCTTAAATTGAAAACCGCGTCTCGCTAGCTACTGTAATTTTGGAGTTACGATTTTTTTAAATTTTTAACCCCCTCCCATACAGCCTTACCAACCCCCACCCCCACCAAAAACTAATGGCCAGATTCTCGGGTGCCACAATATTTTTGTGCCAAATTTGGTTAAAATCGGTTTAGCGATTTTTGAGTTATCGTGTTACAGACGGACAGACGGACAGACGGACGGACAGACAGACAAACACCATGAAAATATTTTGTATTTAGGTCATTTATGACCCAAATAACTCATTTTGAGTGAAATTAAAAAACTTTTTTTTTGTCGATCTTAATAGCCTACCATACCTGTCGGTATGGTCGGCTAATAAAACAACTTCTACATTATTATCAAATAGTAAGTAGCCGTAGCAAAGTTATGTTAATATTTTATTTCTAGTTAGAATGGATATTCTTAAAGTTAGGACTTACCGTAGACTATTAAGCTTCAGATAATTTCAAAGTAGCTTGTATCTTGATTATAATTTTTTAATATTAGCGGTACATATTATATATTATCATTGTAATCATATTGACTGCTGAATTTCTGAAAAAAAGTAAACACGTTATATTACGAAAGATCTTATAAAGAATAAATTAGAGTAGTTAAATAAAAATAAGTTTATTTGGTATTATTCTGGCAAATTTATGATGCTTATTTGTTGAGACATGGTATTAAAATTATTGCATGATAACAAATTGTGAGAAGGAAGTATCCAGTTTGTTATTAAATTAGTAAGAAAATAAAAATTATCTTTCAAAATATAGCAAAAATTTGCTTTATTATTGTATGGATAATTTCAACAAATTACAATGTTTTATTTTCAATTGCTTTTTTTTACGAATTTTTAATTAGTTTAGTAAAATATCAAGTAAACGAAATATAAAAATTGAAAACTTATAGGAAAGTAGTTTTATATTAATTAGCAAAGAAAACAACAATAAATACAATTCAACTTACATTAGAAAAAAGGTATTTAAAACAATACCGGAAAAATATAATGGGCAACTAACAGCAAATGGAGCATATCTGGTAGGAAATAAATTTTTAATCAGTAGATAACATTGTAGGATTGACGATATTAATCACTGAGGCAAATATTTGTATATAGGAATTTTACGTAGGTAAGCTTTACATTAGGAGATTTTAATATATTTTTATAAAGATATTACAATATTTAGATTGCGTGATGGTAATATGTAATAGTTTAATAATCCCTTTTAATTACTCTTCTAATAGATCTGTGCTACCTCTAAGAACTAACAACTATAAGTATAATCAAAAACTAGTAACACAAAATAAGTTTATTTATATCAATACTCCGACATTACAATTCTCAATAATAGGTTAATAATCCGACTGTCAACCAGGGTTGCCAACTCTCGAAGTTTCTTGTTCACGCGAGCGGTTTATGGTTACTCAACACATTGCCACAAGATCCACACAGTAAAAAGCAAAACAACATGACCAGATTGAATGTACGGCGTCTAGAGAACAACAATACCGCTGACGCCCTCCGGGAAGCCATCATAGAATCACTTCCACCGATAACTTCAATCTCAATCTTGGAAACTGAACAAGGCTGGACACAATTAAGGGATGCGATTCATAAAACCAGTGAAGCAGCACTGGGAAAGTCGAACAAAAAGAAACAACCAGACTGTTTTAACAAAAATCGACCGCATCCTACAGGTTTTGTTGGAACAAAAGCATAGAGCACATCAAGCAGTCACTGCAAATCCACACAATTCAAGACTGGTAGACAACTTTAAAGCGGCTAACAACACGCTTCGAAGAGAACTGCGCTAACTAAAGGATAACTGGTCGTCACAAAAAGCGAATCAGATTCAAGAGTACGCCACGCATCACGATTATCGTAAATTCTTCGAGGCTGTAAAAGAAGTATACCAAACCAAGAAGGTAAGCTGCCCAATCATGGCACAAAATGGCGAACTTCTAAAAGAGGAAGAACATATCAGAAATCGCTGGAAAGAGCATTACAGCCATATCCTTAACCAAGAAAACAACCCCAATATAGAAGCACTAACCTACACAATACCTACTGAGGTATTGTGTCTAGTGCTAGTGTTTAGTGCACACAATACGTCAGTAGGTATTGTGTTTAGTGCTTCCATATTTGGGTTGTTTTCTTGGTTAAGGATATGGCTGTAATGCTCTTTAAAGTTAAAAAAAATCGAAAAATGACTGAGTTATAGCCAATTCTTATCATTTTTAAACATTTTCAGTTAGTTAGCCATAGGAACAAGTGCAATCGCCGTTGCTCTCAGTAATGTGAAACTGTCACATCCAAACTTTGCAAATAAAAAATAAACAAAAATTGTAAATATGAATTTTACATATGAGAAAAGCGTTTAGGATTATTGGTTCAACTTTTCTTCGCCATACATTTTCGAGGATACGTTGACCGGTGAACGTTACTTACGTTTTTTAGGAGAGTTAAATTTGGATACCTTGCGCATCAATAGAGTGGTTCTAAGATGACTTTCATTATGACACTCCTCCTCATAATGAAAGAAATGTTAAAAATATTTTATATCAAAATTATGCAAACTCAAGGATAGGAAGAGGTGAAGCAATTGCATGGGCCTCCTCGATCACTTGACCTATCCATTTTAGATTTTTGGTTAACAAAATGTATGTATGGTTAACAAGAAGGTTTACAAAAGAACTTATGAATTAAGAGAGGCGGTACGGGAGAAGTTTATTAAAGTCAACCGGCCGTTCTGTGGGAAAAGCTTGTAGTTCAGTTTTAAAAGATGCATTTTTTGTACTCAAAAGAATGGCGGTTTTTTTGAACATTTGCTAAAATAGCTTAAAGTGTATGAAAAGTAGTAAAAAGTAAACCCTGTATAATATCAGTTTTTTTTTCAGTTTTAGTTTCTGTAATGTAAATTGTAAGGAGCATAGACTTAAAATAAAATATAAACTACACTATTTACATCTCAACGCGGTCAAACAATCTTTTTTGTACACATGTTTACTTCTGGGTACAGTCGACCGAGCCTTCCTCATCCAGCCTATGTTGTCACGTCTTTAATATTATCAATATTTTTTTTCTTGTTACACACATATATTGAGATATTAATACTACAGTTTAATAGAGTAGGTTTTAATATTCCATAGATGTATTAAATAGTCCTTATACTACCGTATGATCGAAAAAAAACGGCGTCCAGTTGGCTGGGAAATGATGATCAATGACATTTCCCATATAAATTTACATATAAAATGACAGCGCTCTTCATTTCATAGCCATCGTTGACGCCGTTTTTTCTCGATCATACGGTACTAAATTATAAGTCGGATACTGTTTAAAAAGGATAAGTTCTTTACAATATGACAACACCGATTAGAGGCGAGGGAGCCTATTCATTCATTTATTACCTTGTAGTACGCGTCGCACGTGTGCGGTAAAGCTTTGTTGCCACTATGTCCCCGGCTGTTTTAACGCATTTTCTTAGCTTGTAGTCCTTAAGTGTTTATTTTATTGACATTTTCTGTTCAAGAACTATAAAATATGGTTCGCCAGTGCCAAATTTGCAAGAAATTTGACTTAAATAATCCATTCTTGAAACGACTTTCGACCGGTAGGCAACTCTCAATTTACCCATTGGGAGTCAGTGGCGTTGTTGTAGAAAGGCGCTTATTTAGATAATATTTTAGTAAAATGTAAAATCTGAATTTTTTGTCTTACATTATATTATTTACTTACTTACATTGTAGCAAAATCCGGTTTATTCTAAAATTATCTTCAGAATCTAAAATAACATACAAGAATTTTAAAATGATATTACATTATGAAACAATATTTTTTAATATACCGGGTCGTCTCAAAATTGGCTCACCCCCTATAACTTTTTTATTTTTTCAGATAAAAAAAACAGATTTGTATGTTAGTAGATATATGACATAAATTAGGATTTATTGACGTATTCAATTGTTTTTGGCCTCTTCCTTTTTCACCGAAATGATTACATCTTTTGATTTTTAAAGGCACCCTCGGTATATTGCTACTTTATTCGATAAAATATGACACTCTGAATAGAATGACGTATCATATGCCAACTTTTGACATTGTCGCTTAAAAACAAATCGTATTTTAAATTTCAATCCAGGGTGCCATGGTGTTGTTAAAAACACTAAGTTTTAATCAAGGAGCCTTGGAAAAATAGTTTTGATCGTCTAATAGGTTTCGTGTCTTGTATAGGCCGGTTAAAAGATGTACAAATCGTATTTTTAATCATACATATGTCAATTTTTTCAAATGGAACAAGGGTGACTCATTAGCATATTTGGAAAAAGCATTTTTTTATGAATATATTGATACCACACACTTGGTATTTCGAGTCCAAATTGTCGTTATGATATATTACAATTAAATCATATGCGAAAATGTCAAAAGTTGACATATGATATGTCATTCTATTCAGAGTGTCATTTTCTATCGAATAAAGTAGAAATATACCGAGGGTGCCGTTTAAAAATTAAAAGTTATAGTCATTTCCGGTGAAACAGGAAGTGACCAAAAACAATTGAATGTGTCAATCAATCCTAATTTATTTCATATACTAACATACTAAATCTTGTTTTTTTATTTGAAAATATAAAAAAATTATGGGGATGGGCCACTTTTGGGACGCACCCGGTATAATAAAGACAGTACCGAGTTAAATAAATGTAGTTTTTATTTTATCCACTTCCTATCACCTTCCTTGCTTTAATGGAACAGATTTATGTTTTCTCTAATTTACATAATAAGACATCACTTAACCAGAAAAAAAAAATACAATAATCATTTTTTTTTCTCTCCCTGTCGCCGATTCTATTATATCTGTGGAATAGATCCTGTTTTGATTAATATTAGGGGTTGTAAATGTTTGACTAAAATTAATAATTTATGTGTATTTTATGATTTTTATCCTTTTTGGACTCTAAATTGTTTTTTCTAAACTTTTATTTAAAAAACCTGTCCTAAATCTTAATAAAATATAAAAAAGTTTAAATACGAAATATTTTTAATTTAATTATAGCTTCATTAAAATAAAAAAATTACCCGGCTATGATACGGAGAGTTCAGGTGTACTTGAGAAACGAAAGACAGTGTTGTGTTTCTCGGCAGAGTCGTCAGGGAACGACCGTTACGACAGAGACAACCTATCTATCGCTCGTGTCGCACTCGTTATAACCTAAAACAATAACACAACAATAACAAGACAGTGTCTGACCGCATGTTCCAGCTATTTATGAATGAGATGCTCAGTCTATATTTTATTTTAAGTCTATGGTAAGGAGCGTTTAATAAAATATTCTGTCTTTTTTTAGGTTATAAATCATACCAGAATAAGAATACCATGAAAGTGAAAAATAAGTGAAATTAGTCAAGAAAGATAAGCATTACTCAGTAGTTTTTCGAAAAAAAAAAACATATTATAGCTTGTATCGCTGAAAAGCTTAAAAAATGGCGCTTTTTTTGAAGTCATATGGACAACTATGATTTCCATTTAAAAAAACATATGTTTGTGTCATGTCAAAAATGAGAAGCTTTAGAAAAATTTGGAGAACACAAACTCATTAGGGATGTGATTATCTACAACTGATTTTTTTTTGTCTAAAATAGATTAAATAGAATTAGGGACAATTTTTAAAATAGCCGAAATTTCTTTTTCTCGAAATATCTAGTAAGCCATGAACTTTTTCAAAAATCTGAAAGGCCTTTATGACCCCAAAAAACTGCAATTCTTTCCCCATTTAACCGACTCTCTATCTCCAGTAGTTTCCGAGATACCCATAGAGAACATCGTTGGAAACTCACCCTGTATATTTTTAACTTAGATAAATACACACATGGCCAAAATTATTGCATATATCGTTTAAAAATATACGGAAAGGAATTTAAAAAATCTTTTTTTATACATAGCTTTCATAATCTGTAATAAACATTATTTTGTTAAAATGGATATGGTAAACAATGTTTATCGTTCAGAACCAATATTATTACAAATTCTTGTACATTTCGATATGTGGTCTCTTGGGTTTCAGAAGAAATTTGAGCATTGTTTTGGCC